TCCAACCTTCAAATCACACCTCACCTCTCCTAAGCCATGTCCCTCCTTTCCCCGTGGCAGTATTTGCTTTACCTTTTCCAAGTCCAGATCGCCTTGGTCATTTATATCCTTCCTGAACTTCTCTGTGGTGATATGCAAAGGCTGAAACACCATGCTGTAAGCGTATGGAGCAAGGTTTGCTAAAATGCATGATTAGATGATTAGTCAGGCCACTGAAAACCTTATGCAGGAAGCAAGAATTTGAGGCTCCCTCCCCTGCAACGCGGTTTCAGAGACCAAATGTTGAGTTGTAACATGGGAAACCCTTTTGCCTAGTGCTGCCGTATTGCATCCTCCCCTACAGAAGCCCTTCTGATATTTCTCAGGCACCAGAGGGGCATACTTCCATTAACAGACTCAACCAGAAGTGAAGGACTCGGCACTCCGACCTCTATTCATCCCCACCGACCACGGCTGGCATGGCACACGGGCGATCCCGAAACAGCTCCCACAGGACATGCTACGCTGCAGGAGGAGCATTTCCAATGCCAACAAAGGGAACAGAATTTGTGTTTTGCAAGGGGACACGTCACACCCCACCCCACCTTTTAGTACAGCAGTCTTCAACGTGACTACATCAAAGCTTCGATTTAATGGACGCCAAAAGCCAGTTTTCACCGTGCCCTTTACACTTCAGGTGAGTAGGGCAGGTCCCTCTATGAAGAGCAGGTGGAAGAAACCAGTTAAAAGAAGAGGGGAGAAAGAAGAACCCACACTGTTAGCTGTCTGGTATTTATTACTTTTTAATACAGAGAAGTCACAACAAAATATTCTCTAACAACACACGCGAAGGATATCATAACCAATTATTTTAATTTCATCAACATTCATTTGCTATGTACATATTCTTCCATCTGCAAAAGTGCAATCCAAGAATGTCTCAACAAGAAACCTTTATGGACAAGTATATCTTTGAGGGGTTTTCTCACCAGTGGCCTTACAATAACATGTTTGTCCTCGGTTACCTGGTACAGCAAACTGAAGAGCACATGAGGGGAGGAAAAAAAAAAAAGAAAAAAGAAAGAAATTGGGTTAGATGCCTCCCTTGAAGGAATTTTCCCTATTCTCCCAACTAAATTCATTACGAATACACTGCTCACTACTGGAGATGTTAATGCAAATAGACTATAGGATAGTCTATGGGCTGGCTATAAAACACTGTAGTTTTATAGTGACTCCACAGCATTAGACAGAACAAGAATTTCAGGCTGTTCACCTTGCTAGATGTCAAATTACACATCAGCGTGTGAAAGATGTCCATTGTGTTAGCTACGGTTAACAAAATTTACTTTTAAACATCCCACTGATGGATGGATTCATTTTTACACATCCAAAATATGAAGTCTATCTAAATGCAAGCCTCTCCTATGGAAAACAGAGTTAACTACTGGAAAGAAAAGCATTTGCACATGCAACTCCTATTACTATCACAAGGAGTATCGTGCACTTAAGAGGAGTAGAATGAACCTCCAAATCCAGAGGCTGTATTCTTGTTTACAAAACATATTTCAGGCACAATTTAATCTGGCCACAGGACAGATTAAACAGAACACGCAGCATCAGAAAAATGAAAGGTAATGAAGAATAAACTTTAGCCGAACAAGCAAAGCAAGCAAACCCCTAGCTAGGGAAATCATTTCCTTTTTGGCGCATTTAAAGCTCATGACTACTTCCAGTGCTCATCAAGACAGAAAGCAAACCAACTGCGGTCTAGTTTAACCCCTGAAGTAGCCATTAGGTCCCAAAGAAGTTACCTCCGCCTTCGTACGTATGCAAAGCCCAGCTTAACTTCTCATGGCCAAAGGGTGGGCCTGACTGTTTGACTGGAATCTGATGCACGTTACAAAAAATAACAGCATTTTGCAGTAACCCAAGACTAGTTTTCAGTACCAGCAAGAAGCACGGAAAGTATTCTGTACAAATCAGGGACAATTTACTTTGGAGTGAAAGTTCAGAGGAATCTTTCTGTAGCTCAGCTGGTTTCCTTCAAGGGTCATTTTTACAGTGCTACACGTGCTGCTAGCCTCCAGTTGAGAGAGGTGTTTTGCAAGAAAATAGGTATTTCCTGAAGCAGTAGGCAAGACTCACTTCACAGCAGAATTAAAAGGAAAATTGAAGGAGAAATAAATTGTTTTCTTGGATAGATTTGTACACCAACTCCTTGCCACTGTTAAGACTTTAAATATGCTTTCCCCTTCCCAGTTTCTCAGTCTGCTGCGTTCTTGGTTTTGACTTGAATATGCTGTACTTCCTTTCCTACGCTTGTGTTTTTAAAGCTGTCCAACTTCCCTTTTACCGAGTCTACTCATTATTGATTGTCACACTTACATGTCTGGAGAGGCACCTAAGTACTAAGAACACAATTGTAAATTAAGATACTCTAAGGAAAGGAAATGAACAAATATTAAGAAGGACTCCAGATCTCAATTCTCCTCTACCACGTTCTTTGTACAGTGACACCTCCCCTCGATGAATGCATGAAAAAGTGGATACAAAACACCATGTGGTCTATATGGGATCAACACCCTAGACTCATGGCATGAGTGATGAGCACTCAAGATCAAATGCTACAGTTACAGATGTATCCTTTAATTTTTCTCATTACAGGAGCTTTGTCTTCGCTGTGTTTTTTTCAGGCCACTGGCACAGTCTAGCCATTGTCTGTCTGGTCAGGTTCTGCCAGGCAACGCAACTCTAAACCTTGTTAGCCACCCTAACTCCATCAGGTTGCTCAAGGCACCATCAAAGTTGAAGGGGCCATCTTCCCTGAGGAGTTAATTCAAATTGTAACTTGATTGTTCTCCGTCTATACTGCACAGCTAACAAGGTTTTATCTGCTAGACAACTTCTTCCAGCCAGGTGTGCCTGGACCACTTCCTGCTCCTATGGGCAATGGTCACAGAGCTGGTCCTGCTACAACTGGGCTTGGTGGTACTTGGTTTGTGGTAGCCGCACCAGGACAGACGTAATTCTCCTTAAAAAGGAAATAGGTTTTCCCAAAACTGCCACAAACAGGGAACAACTGCACAAAACCCCAAGGATGTGCTCCAGACCCAAAACCAAGCACAGGAGCGAGGACAGAAGGAAGGGAGCATCAGTGGTGATGACTACCACAGCCTGCTAACATCACTGTTCAGACCAGCAGCGGATCACCAGTGTAACTGTACAAGACAGTCCAGATGTGAAAACCATTAACATGAGCTGGCTCCCTTCTAAGGACATTACCACGCAAGTTAGCAGTGAGTGATCTGTGCCAACATAAGCCCTCTGTGCAGCTCCAGTATTACTAGAACAGTGGCTAACGCTAAAAGGAGCTAACTCTGCAGTGAAGACAGCCAGGAAATAAATCTGTGAACTTGGCATTTTTATGCACAAAGAAACATGGATATTCAGTTTGAGTTTTATGTGCACGTTAATTTCTTAACTTAGTAGAAAGTATAATTCTCAGTCCAGCGTATGAAACAGTTTTTTGGCTTCTGACTTTTTTGTTGTCCTTCCCAGGGTGGCAGAGTATCAGGGCCTTTTTCCAGACCGTGACTTCAACAGATACGCTCTTTAAAAAGATTCTAATTTGGGAAAACCAAACGACTTCAGAAGAAACTAAAAATAATCGCACCTCTTAAACAGAAACAAAACCCACAGCTCTCAAGTGGACAAACACTCCATAAATATACTATGGAGAAAAACAAACAAAAAACCCAACCACCTCCTCTAAATCTCAATTGGCTTGAGAAACCAAGCAAAAGATTAATGACCTATTGTAAAAATTTTATTTAAGGAAAGGAGAAATGGGAACCAAGAAACAACTGCAGAGCCTACAGGGCCAAGCCCTCTGATACCAATTCAGTGCCTAATGCATAGTCGATTAGGTACAGCACAGAGGTGTGTAAAAAGCAAATACGCTAAGTTTGCTTTGTTAAAAAGTCTCCAAGTTCTTAGATCGTGGACTGAATGCAATTTTGAAAGACAAAGGTGCAGCAATTAATTGTTTTAGAAAGCAAGGCCATGTTTGGTACTCAGTACCTCTCAGCTCTGACAGGTCTGACAGCCCCGATCCCACTTCACGGTCCTGCTTCCACACCAGTCACACCGGTTCGCAGTGGGCAGCAAAGCCTCAGCCCCAGCAGACACATACAAACACATCCCCGTTCAGCTCAGCCTGTTCCTTCCCTAAAATGCCTGCGAAGAAACACTTTTAAATAAAGCATTTTAATCTCTGTCTTGTTTTGGGACGAGCAGATGACCCGACCGGGCACACGGCAGCCCCGGTGGCAGCAGCGCTATTGCCGTACGCTCCGTCAGCGAGGGCAAGGCGCATCAAACGCACACGGCAGGAAGACACTATGCCAAAAAAAAGAGTCATTCCTTTGAAGATTGCATTTTCTGGCACACGTTTACATTCACTTGTCACAATACCTTAGTTTACCCCGTCTCAGGAAATCTGAGAGCAGGTCTGCTGAGGGGACTGGCAGCACGGGGCCAGCTCCCGCGCCCGTGGGAACCAATGCGAAAGGCTGAATGAGTCGAACAATAATGGGACGGTTTCTTTCCAGGGATTCCCCATTTCCACCAAGCTGGAGGGAAGACAACCCTACAGAATTACCCACTTTCCAACCGGACATGTTCTTCTGTCTCCCCGCACCCTTCCTACAAACTGTATTACAATTATACAAAAAAAAAAAAAAATCAAATCGATTCATTTTTAGCTGAACTTTACCCCACACTTGGGATATATTCCAAGGCCATTAAATTGGCTTCCTCCAACCTTCACAGAGATCTTGTCAGGAGGATTCTGGTTTTAACAACATGTATATATATACATATTAATATGTACACAGACAAAGAAGCTGCTCTTTCAGTTAGAAAAGAAATTAAATTTCATCACAGAATGAATCCTATAAAAAGATATGTAATAAAGTTGAAATACCCATAAAATAGCTATTACTAAAGCAAAGCTTTCGTCAATAAGCCTCCAAAACTTTAAATGAAGAAAATGGCTTCACGAAGTGGTAGTCTAGATTTCCACAGTGAGGACACTGCTGGACGTTGCTGTATTCAGAGAAATACTGCATGCCAATCCGTACATCTATTACCGGCTTCCCACAGTGCTTACAGTTCAGTCGAGCCTGTAAAAGAACAAAGAAACAAACAAAAAAAACCTTTTGAAATACCCAAACTCACCTCTGCTTCTTGCTCTGAAAAAGAAAGTGTCGGACGCAGCCCCCTGCCCGGCCCAGCCGGAGAGGGGTACGTCAGGGAAGGGACTGTAATGGGATTTGCTGGTAAGGACATTCCTCACCCGGACCAGTAACTCACAGGCACACACAAATGTTTTTCATGCGAAATACCACCACCAAATTCTGGAGAGTAAAAACCACCTCCCACTCTGACTGATAGGAGGTAGAGAATTTCCAAGTTTATACAAACACACGAGTGGTTTGTGTTGATTAATCTCTGGACCAATTCCTCAATCCCCAGTACGAGAAGTGCTGTCTCAATAAATCATTAATGAAGCCTCAAAGCAGAGAGAGAAATTTTACATTTGTATCATGCCATTTAACCGTTTAGGTTGACCTTTGAACATGATCTGTCCATGAAATATACCAGCATTTTAATCTTTTGGCTTATCCCTAATCCCCATTAAACCATATCCTCAAGTAGATCATCCACCCTATTCTTAAACACATCCAGGGATGGGGACTCAACCACCTCCCTGGGCAGCCTATTCCAGTGGCTGACAACCCTTTCAGAGAAGAAATACTTCCTAACATCCAACCTGAATCTCCCCTGACTAAGCTTATGCCCATTTCCTCTTGTTCTATCAAAGGTTGACCTTTGAACATGATCTGTCCATGAAATATACCAGCATTTTAATCTTTTGGCTTAACAAATGTATAACTCGATCTACTTTATGGCACGGTGTTTTATCACTTGAGGTATCTACTTAAAAATTTATAATATCTATCAGGTTATACAAACAAAACATCACTTCAAGCACACAAACTATTCTACAAAATCCAGCTGAGAAAGGACCAATGTTAACAGGGTGGATATGAGAAATAATTAAAGGTCAGGGGTGAGGACAGACAGAGCTATTAATGCTCAGCAGCACCAAAAACAAGTAAGTGTTCGGAAGAAATGTAGCTGAGAAACCCAGCCCATGGGATGTAAAGAAAGGAACAGGCGGTGTGAAAGCTCAGCAGGCTGCCTGGAACACTCAAGAGAAGCAGAAGAGATTTGAGATGGCAAAGGAGTTTAAGAGTAAAGGTGGCAAAAGAGCAGCGAGGGCCAGAGCTGTATCACAGCTTAACCTCGCAGCCTGACACGCCAGTGAAAGCTTCAGCTCTTCCCCGAAAAGAACAAAGAATGATTTTCTGTGGCAATCTTGATTTAAGGAATTTTCCTAGGATGAGGAGAGGAAGAAACTATTAAAGTACTATTACCATTGAGACAAGACACAAAAAGAAACAAGCTATCAGCTCCACAGCCATCTGCTCTGCTTGAAAAGCAGAAATTCTAAGAAATACAATCTAGTAGGGCATGGATTTGTAAGATTTTTTTTTAACTAAAGTGTTGCTTTCCCCTTTGCTACTGTCTCGCACATCAGGCTGCTAGTAACCTGACAGTGGCTGCACCGCATTATCCTATACGTACATTTGTGATGCATAATTAAATATTTTGAAACAAGGTACGAAATTATTCAAAATAGAAATTAGCAAGGCAATTTGGAGTTAAATTATATAACATATTTAAGTGTCATTCCTCTGTATGCACAGAATCATCTGTAACAATCACAGTGAAACAATAGCGCGTATTATCTGGCAATCACAGTCACCGCAGCTAATGATTTCATAGTTCTATTACTTACCGTGTACTGTCACACTGTCCATTAATCATATAATTAAGGCTCTTGTGTAATGAGACCTTAATTCTTGTCTTGTACAGTCAACAGAAGCAATTCAGATTTAAATTTGCTGGCTTTTACAGAGCTAGCAAGTCAACATCAGTGTTTTATCTTTAAAAGTCTCCATTTTTTAAAAAAAAGTTACAATCTCAAGAGGTTAAATTTGGAGGTACTATCTCTGCCTTTACTTATAACTGTTATCAATGTCATTTTATCCAGTAGCAGCAACACCACTTGTCTTTTGAGCAGCACATTTTGGTAAGTAGGTTCAATTTAAAATTAAATGGCATTTTCCATGTTGACAAAACTCTATTTTAGATTGCTCTTACGTACGCACAATACCATGAAGTGATCATACTTGGAATGAATGCATCTTTGCAACGCTCCTGTTCTCACCCAGTACCACCACTTCCATGCCCAAAGGCAACAGCTCGCTCCTGGGCATCCCGAGTGGACCACTGAGCTGTTCCCAGACAAACGGTTCTCAGGGCTGTTCCCATGTGCCACCTGCACAACAAAAGTGCTCTGCCCATCACTGCCTCATCCCTGGAAGTGTTCAAGGCCAGGCTGGATGAGGCTTTGAGCAACATAATCTAGTGGAAGGTGTCCTTGCCCATGGCAGGGGGGTTGGCACTAGATGATCTTTAAGGTCTGTTCCAACCCAAACCATTCTGTGATTCTATGACCACATGGACAATTCTCTCGGACACTGAGCACTTTGCTGCCTCAGGCATGTGACTACTCTGGAATAACCCCAGGCCTCGGATCTTTCTCACCCAAGGTACAGATTAGGTGAGCATTTAATGAAAACTAAGCTGCTTCAGGCTGTGGCAGAGTACCATCATCATAGTCGGTCGCAGCCTGATTAAGGAGAGCTGGGTAACCTCCAAGCACACAGACTCTTTAGACCTTTCTGTTCCGTTGGCTTTTTTGCTACAATTACCTTATGATAAAACACAGCTCAAGCAACTAAAAGAAACTTGAATATATGAAGCGTCTCCTAAAAATGTGCAATTGTTATTAAAATACTACTGGAATTATATCTGATGGCAAACGTACTTGCTAGTGATCATCCTAAGCATCAGATTTAACTGTGAATGCTCTATTTGAAAATAACCACTGACCATTTCATTGGCCTTTGTCTAGCTACAGGTCTTTGTACCTCGTATGTTAAGACCAAAGGACAAGGACTCGGTCAGCTTTCTTGTATTTCACTCACAGGTAAAGGCTGGAAAAGAAGGGTGGAGGATGGGAAGGCAGAAGAGGAAACACAAACCTTGGCTTTGCTTACCACCAGTTGGAAATTCACTTTATGAGTCTTATTTAAGTACAGTACTAACCTGACAACAGGGAGATGCTGCCAGAATATCGTAGGTATACATAGTTCCCAGCTGATGCCAGCTTCCATCCCATCGGGACTTGCACTTAATGCAGATAATTTTGTGAACCCCTTCTAAGCAGTCTACACAAACAGCATAGAGGTGCATAAGCCTTCCTGTGGACAGGAAACACACTTCTTAAGGAGACTAGAACAGAAGATTAAAACAGACATTTCCTGCAATGTATTATCTGCTTTTTAGTGACACACATCACACCTTGTTAAAATCTTTTTTTTTTTTTCAAAAAGGGTGAATGATTAAGTAAAAAGCATTTCTCTATAGGAAATACATAGGGCTTGACTAAAGCTATTTTCCATGAATGCAAAACTCAGGAATTAGTCATCAAGCTGCCCACCCTCCCTTCCTCCATTTGCTGGTAGACTTTAGCAAAATATTTTATAAAAGGAGTTGCTGAAGCTCCATGAACAGCTGCCAGGTTAAGACAGATGATTAGCTGCAGCGTTTCCAAAACCAGGATTGTGCCCTAGCTTCATCCCCACCTGACAGAAGGAGTGGAGAAGTGTTGAAGCTTATTAGCAAGCTGGGTACAGATTCATTTAACAACTTGCCAAAATCTTCCAGCAAAGAGGGAACTAAGAATCTAATATTCTTCATGGGAAAAAGCAACAGTCAGAAGAGCAATATCTGTTCACATACTTTTTCCTGATCCTTCATTAACAGTAAGTATACTTTAAAACATCATATATTACATATACACAGACTTTAACTGGCCATTCAGAACTATGAATCTATCGAGCTCTATTGTGACCTTGGGCTCTGTAGGCACAATGACTTTCAAAACCTGAGTCATACGAACTTCCATAAAAATCAAGTGGTTCAGACCTGAAAATGAAATGTTTTCTCGACATAAACGTGACTAAACTCACCAATGCAAAATCCATGATGCAAATTTCACACAAAACAAAAAGCCTTACGCAAATTACAAAGGCGTAGTATCTAGATTATGCCCAATTTGTAGTCATCTAATCAACCTGTAGTTGAATAGTTGGCTACTAGAAGTGGGTTGACACAGAGTACTAATTCTGTAATACACCATATTTTGCACTGCTATCTAAGACAAAGCTAAGAAGCAGTGCAATTACAGCTCAGCTACAAAACAGGACTGCATATAATATGTGTTTATTTTGGATTGCAATTTGTGCTTTTTACCATCAAAGTACTGAACACATCACAACCTGTAATTTAATGAACGCACAAATCTTGCACCTCTTCTAGATAAAAGGGAATAGAATATTAACAATTTATGGTTAGTCCATACCAGACACTTTCAGAATTAATGGTTTGGTTTTTAACTTGTTTTGGTTTTTAAGCCAACTATTTTAGAAAAGTGAGAAGAAAAATCAGAGTCTTTTTAATATACATATACAAAATAAGCTTGCTAGTATGAGCTGGGAAAAACTGAGTTATTTCACATTGGCACGTTCAGCTCTAGAAAATGTGATGTGATGAGACTAAAGTGCAAATATAATAAACTCTGTTCCTAAAGCGAACACTCAAGATTGGAGACGTTCAAACAATTCCACACAGAGAAGCTTTGTGTTGTGCAGGAAGATAAAATAATTTTCCCCATCTGAAGTTCTGCACTGCTTCTGCACATTAAAATACTGCACTCTCCCACCGCTTAATTTTCCAGATCCTTGTTATATAGGAAATGAGGCACCTGATATCTTACAGATGCCTCAAATAAAAGAAGTGATTCTCTGTAGTGAAGAGAAAATAACACCCTGGAACAGCACCTTGCAAGCTTAATTTCATTTTAAAGAGTACTTCTGATAATCAACCAAATTCCCCAGTACAAGGAGATAAAAATTTTAACAATTAATTATTCACAGCATCTTGTCTGAGCGAGTTTTTCAGATGTATCATCCAATGGGTGAGGAGCAATTAATTAGAAAAAAAAAATAAATTTGCAGAGTTTCATTCTTAGTGGCAAACGTTAACAAGCGACAAGTTTCACTATTACTAAACCAGCTATAAGTACCGATAAAATCACAAGCACGTTGTGCATGCCTTCCCACAAATCAAATAAGCATTGTTATCTCACGTAAGTATATTCTCTTCATCCTGCAGATTTCTTGGCTTGCACGTTTGCCTATCACTTTTTCTCCTTAAAGTACATTAGGCAAGACAGAAACAATAATTTTAGCATGAATACAGCTTAGTGACTTAGCGCACAGTGATTTAAGGAAGGGAAAAAAAAAATACAAAATTTGTCGAGCAAAGGAATGTCACATAACACGTATTATGACCATGCATGGGATATAACAAATTTCATCAAAAGGAGAGAAACTTAAATTTTAGAATACCTCCCCAACACCCTTTCCAAGATATAATTCTATGTTTTTGAAGCCTAAACTACAAGTAATTTCTCTGACTGGTTTTAGCCGTGCTGGCTGCCGGCAGGCTGCAGGACAGGCATGTTTTGCCATGTACTGCCCTTATCACTCACTTTGGGGCACAGCTCTCAGGAAGAGCTGAAGCTCGTCCTAGCCCACATCCATTTGTTTCTCCAGGAGGAGAAAAGTAGTACCTGCCCTGGCCTCAACTCAGCTCGGAGCTGGGATATGATGAGGATGCAGTCCAAACAGGTGGGAGTTTGGAAATAAGTCTGAATCCCCCACTACACCATTGCTGCTTCAACCCACCGTATTAAAAGCTTACTTTTACGACGTCCAACCTCTCCAGGCCGGTGTTAAACATAGGCCAGACTATAGTCTTCTCCATATAAAAAATAAATAGCTTGATACGAAACAAAAATGTTACTTTCTGGTCTGAAAGCAGATGAGAGGCATCTCATCTTGCCGGTGGTACAAATATAACTTCCACCCATGCTGCAGCACAGCACGCTTAAATTTAAAAGGCTGATGTACATCTTAGAATCATAGAATCGTTAGGGTTGGAAGGGACCTCAAAGATCATCCAGTTCCAACCCCCCTGCCATGGGCAGGGACACCCTCCACTACACCAGGTTGCCCAAAGCCTCATCCAACATGGCCTTGAACGTTTCCAGGGATGGGGCATCCACAACTTCTCTGGGCAACCTGTTCCAGTGCCTCACCACCCTCTGAGTGAAAAATTTCTTTCTTATATCTAGTCTAAATCTGCCCTCTTTCAGTTTAAATCCATTGCCCCTTGTCCTATCTTGGAGTAAAGCTCACAACAGATAAATCAGTGAGCATGCACTGCAGAACGGAGCGGCTGGCAAACCTTCTCGTGGTCTACCTAGAAACCAGATGAGAAATCTCCTAGTTGTAAACCCAAACACAAGGTATAGATCTTTCTACACGGTATTTTTTTTTTTTGTAACATCTTCTAAGTGTTTCGATCTAATCCACGTGATTAATTTGGACACCACTTCGAGCTTTACAGAACTGCTTAAAAACGCAGAACCAGGATGAAAATCTACAATGAGGAGGGGGGGACAGGGCAGAGAAGGCAGTTCCATCGTTCAATGACACCTAGCATGACTGACAGACAACCTGTACCTTGAAGGTGACAGGGAACATCATATTCAATCTCATCGTGTCTCGATGGGCTAAGGAACAGGGTCCCGTCCACCAGCGGAAACTGTTCAAACACTGGCAGCGCCCTGTGGCATAGCGCACAGTTTACAACGTTCCTGTGGCTGGCACTAAGAGCAGCAAGGATAAACTTCCGAAGGTCCTCCCCTTGGCCCACCTGGGCATCGTCTTCCATCCGCACGTGGAAAGTATTCAGTTTGTGCCTGGGGATGTGAGTCAGCAGCTCAGATAGATCGAGCCTTCTCAAAAACTGCACGGGGGCATCGAAGTGTCCCGACCGATGTGCTTGCAAACCGGCTGCCGCCCCGTAATCGAAATGCGCGTTCCTGAACATGCCCCCACCGGCCATGTTCTTCTTATGGGGCTCCAGGTGAATGGCGTTCTTCAAAAACTCTCCTAAGTACCGCGAGGAACGAGGGCCGCTGAAATGCGTGGGGGCGAGAATGGAGTAGCCGGTGGGTGGGGACTGGCCGGGAGAGACACAAGGCGAACGCGCTGCGTAGCTGCCGCCCATGACGCCCTTCTCCTGGGAGTTCTGCCTGTCCATCGAGTGCCGTCGCTGGAGGTCATGGCTCAAGCCCTTCTGCGGCTTGTTGGCCGGCCTGCCCTTCTTGGCCTCCTCTGCTGACTCCGCCATCGACCTTCCCGTGCTCTTCTCCAACACCGATTTCTTCTTCTTATCATCCTGCATCCGCTTCACCTGGTACCAGTCAGTGTCCTTCTTCAAATGACCCTGCCCGCACCGGCAGGAGCAAAAGCGAAAAGCCAGGTCGTATCCCTTCTTCGTCCACATGTTTTGGCGACACTGCTTCTCGTTCCAGCTCCTGGCTCTGCCGATGCAATTGAACTGGACGAGAATGCTGCTCTCCCACTCGTAGAAGCACTGAAGGTGCATCCAGGTGCTGTATGGACAATGCTCGTTGTTGCATATAACCTTCTGGTAGTCATCCTTCTCCAGGTCCACTGGCCTTCCGAAGCTGCAGATGAGTGGAGTGGCACAGGGGGCTTCTGTGAAGATAAAACAGGTGCATTAATAACTTAATGGCTCGTTAATTACGACGCTTCTTTGAACACCGTGCCAAATAGACACGCCAGCTCGTACTGGTCAGCCATCTTACTGGAGGGTCCACAAGCACTAGCTGTGGGTCAGGGCAAAAAGCAGTCTTTGCCAAAAAAAGCTAAGTACGTGAAAAGAGATATGGAAATGAAGGAATAAGGAAACAAAACGACATTACGGTTTGTTTAATGTTCGAAGCCAAAGCACCTCAGAAGCACCAGCCCTCCTCAAGGGTTTGCAGATACCGTTGCAAAGGCGTTAAGAAGCAAGAAGAGAGCTTTGTGGATGTTGCTGGAGGGTTGCTTTGAAGCCTGAGAGGCAGCATGGGGAGAACACACAGATGTGCTTGTTTGAAAAACAAGCAGGCAACACAGCCTGGCTTTTGCGATCACAGGGAGAGGCAGGAATTGATCTTTTCTTTGGGATCAAGCAAGAGACAACAGCTAGGGAGAGAAGGAGGAAACAGAGGACTCTGAAAAGCAAGACAAACAGCTTATGTTCCCAGGGCAGAAAGAAGGGCCTTCAGTACATTGCTCAGGCAAACACAGACTACACGACCATCACGGACCGACTGGATAGCTAAATTTCACAAACCAAATAGTTCTGCAACACAGGCAGCTTAAAAAAACCCAAATGCTACGTGTCTTTTATCAGCAAAGCAGCAGCCTTTGCTACATCCTAGCAAAGAACAGTTTATTTCAACTCTCTCCCTGCAACACCACCAACTTCTACACGAAAACGCGCTACAAAAAACGTTCCGCGTTTATGCCCCAATGATGTTTTCCCCTCCTTCACCAACGTACCACGGACTACACACGACTCCCATTTCTGGCTCCTCAGTTGCAGCTGGGAGGCACAGAAAAGACAGGAAATTTTCAGCTGGAGTTTCTACTGAATCTTAAGAGTTTCTAATTATGAAGTTTTCAGATGCTTAGTCGAGTATTACAAATATTTCTCCTCTGTATTTCTGACGTCCTACTTCCTCCACTTCACCAAAGAGTACTGCTCCAACTGGCCTGGTGGGCTGCCTTTTAACCCCTGTATTGCTGCATTCAAATACTAGCAGGCTTCTTCAGGGTCTTCCCTGGCCAAGCACTGTCTCGCCCTGTGCGAAACAGAGTAAAGTCTATTTACTTTCCCAGTCCCAGCCAGAGCTCCAGGACTCACAGGAGAGGTACACCGACCCTCATGAAGAGAGGCTGCCATGATCCAGTTTTTTTTTCCTTAGGACTTCAAATTTCTATCTGATAAGCAGGGGGAAAAAACCACACTCCGTTGCATTGCTTTTAAATCTCATTCTTGTCTCCACTAGCACAAATAACACAACATAATTCGCAGGGGGATGATAGGTTTTACACCACTACATTCACTTTTGCTCAGATTCTCAGTAATAGACACACTACCCATCATCACCCATCCCACAGCAGAGAGACACAAACCAGATGCTTTACAACAACAGATCTTTGCCATGCCAGTGGTTTTGCCCCTTCCCAAGAAGTTTTTGTTAAAAGGCTACAAACAAACAAACAAATAAAATCTTCAAGGTTACCTTCAGGACATTCAAGATTACCGGAGCTCTTAAAACTTATTTACCCAGAAGAGACGGGCACAAAGAGCACAAGAAAATTTTTCCGAGCCGTTCCCTGAAAGATGCCATATCCTTCACCTCATTTCTCTGCCTCCCTTTCAAATGTCAGAAGCAGCACAGTTGCAAGGAGAATTTTCTGCAATACCTCTCCTTCAGGGACTGGCCTATAAACTGCAAGCCAAGCACATTCCCAAGAACTTTCTCTTAAAGCAAAAAAAATCTACTTCATTTCAAAATATGGGTTTGTTCAGCCATTAAAAACAAATTACCAAATTGGAGAGAACAGAGATAAGAGAGGCTTTCCCTAGGGACTCTTTGGAAGTTCCTCCTATATATGCGACCGCCTATATTGTTCACTAGTTGTCTCAGGTCTCTGAAAAGCCCACTAAGAACATGCAGGTTTTGAGATGCCTTTGAGAAGCATGAATTTTATTGGCTCTCAATGACTAATTTTCCTCCACATTTTTTACTGTGAATTATTATCATAGATATAAGGAAGAAATTTTTCACTCTGAGGGTGGTAAGGCACTGGCACAGGTTGCCCAGAGAAGTTGTAGATGCCCCATCCCTGGAAGTGTTCAAGGCCAGGTTGGATGAGGCTTTGGGCAACCTGGTGTAGTGGAGGGTGTCCCTGCCCATGGCAGGGGGGTTGGAACTAGATGATCTTTGAGGTCCCTTCCAACCCAAACCATTCTATGATTCTATGTCACTGGCCAAGAGCAAAAGTGAATGATAACTTATCTGCTTCGAAACAAAATCTGTCAGTTTACCAGTTCAGAGAGTTCTCCCACCCACTCTCCCAGACTTTGACTCAAGTCACACTATACCACACCAAGCACCTCTGCAAGGTGGTATTTCTTTCTTCATTGTCAGCCGTTCTTTCGTCATATTTAGGGTCTGAAAATATAGTTTGCAATTACAGCATCCTTATGCAATTCACCTCAGAGAAGCCAGTTAAACTGAAACCATTAAAGGCAAATCAGCAGAAATCAGATGTGCAGCAAGATACTGGAGGTACCAATATGAAGAGTTCTCACTTACACATTTCCTGTATTCATCTATTCTGGTACACACTCCTTTCCACCACTGCCAGGAGACAGGAAGAAAGAACATGCCAAAAATCCACTTATGCTCCCTCTGTGTTTCGGAGTGTAAATGCTCCAACAGTCACAGGTGTAATTATAGCTGACAGCCGAGAAATTTACTATACAGGCAAGTCTAGAGATCTCCACTTTAGAATAAAGGCTTCACACTTGCTTATCCATACTGGCATAGTTAACTGACTGAAAAAGAAAAGCGTTTCCTTGATTAGGCTTTAAACATGGTTTTGGTTTTGGATGCAAAAACGTATGATCTCTAGCCCCCTGAGAACTTTACAGCCTCTTCATTATGTGAACAAAAAAAATGAAATTAATAAAATAAGTGGTTGAATACAGAAAAAAACACCACAGCTTGTGTATTCCATAGAACACGTGCACAATTATTGGATTATTATTGTGTATTGGGTGCCTAGAGATTATTGCAAAGGTGACTTTCAACAGACTTTTTGCCCTTTCCCTGGCTGGTCAGTGGAAGGACTGTGGAATAAATCTTCACCAGCTTCTCCTTGAGAACTTACAGATGCCAGATTACCTGAGGAACTTCCCACACAGCATAACTATAAGCAAGAAAAAGCTTCAGTTTAGGGCAGCAATGTCTTTTTCAACATTTAACTAGACGACTACAAAGTTTTCAGATGTTCCCACATCTTACCTTCTACCTACTGAGTGTGAAGTGGCTGGTCACACAACCACCATAGCAAAAGCAGGTCTAGAGCAGCTGGAAGAAAACAAGGGAGTCAACAAGAGCCTTCCCCCACGCAAAAGAATCCACTGAATTGTTAAATGGTGGCACTGAGATCGCTTTGGAAAACATCATTGCTGAGAGGAGAAGCTGGTTCCTACTCACCTCTTCTGGGGACTCACTGTCACTGTAGCAGCACAGGAAATACTCGAGAAACCAACAGGTCTCTCTGCCGTGTTGCCATGCTGCACATCAAGGCTAACTCCATGCCAGGAAAGGACCTGCTTTCACTGACACAGGTTCGTTATCACGAGCTCCGCTGATTTAGAGAAGTCCTTGATAAAACTGCTGCAGTATTTCCACAACAGAAACTGAAGAGCCCAAGATGGCTAATGAAAGTTGTCTCAGCAGAAAGCCCCACCACTTCTGCGGGATCCCCGTACTTAAGAAAGCAGAAAACTCCACCACCTGAAAACCATACAGAAACGCTCAGGCCGACATTCGGTTCCACCTAATAGTTCAACTTCCAGTAGGTCGACCTGTACAGAACACTGTGCAGGACTGAACACTCCTTGCAGACTCCTCTCCATTCGTGCACCCTGCCAAACACCATCATACCACATGCTCCGAGGGCTGGAGCACCTCTGCTATGGAGACAGGCTGAGAGAGTTGGGGCTGTTCAGCCTGGAGAAGAGAAGGCTCCGGGGTGATCTTATTGCAGCTTTCCAGTACTTAAAGGGGGGCTACAGGAAAGCTGGAGAGGGACTTTTCACAAGGGCGTGTAGTGATAGGACAAGGGGCAATGGATTTAAACTGAAAGAGGGGAGATTTAGATTTGATATAAGGAAGAAATTTTTCAGTCTGAGGGTGGTGAGGCACTGGAACAGGTTGCCCAGAGAAGTTGTGGATGCCCCATCCCTGGAAGTGTTCAAGGCCAGGTTGGATGAGGCTTTGGGCAACCTGGTGTAGTGGAGGGTGTCCCTGCCCGTGGCAGGGGGGTTGGAACTAGATGATCTTTGAGGTCTCTTCCAACCCTAACCATTCTATGGTTCTATGATTCTATGTTCCTACATAAGGCATGAATGAGGAACATAAAAAGAAGGAATTTTTTGGGCGCAACTTTCCCAGTTGACAGCAACAGATATGCCTTTGGAGCGAAAGAGCCAGCATTCAGATCACTTAGTATGGGAGCCACATTAGCAAATGTGAAGAGCTCTTCCCATCAATTCACACTCTTGAAAGTGCTCTGGGTTATTTAATCGTCATTTTGATAAACGAGACAAAGCACTTATTACAGAATTACAAAACTTTAAAAATTCTTGTTATCAAGCTCTTCTATTTCTCATTAATTGGAATTGCATTTTGAGATTATTCTTAAAAAAGTCAGAGCTAGAATCACCATATTAATGTTTCGTGATAAGAGTACGACTATTACGGTCAAGAGAGACAACAAAGGGGAGTAGATAGAAATTCACATGGCCAAACTGCCCATCAACACCTGCAGCCCCAAGCTGGTTTGTCACCCAAACGTAAATTGCTTTCAAGTAGCTAATAGCTCAATAGATTTCTGGTTTCCAAAGT